CTGGGAAACAAGCATCACTCTCGCCATCTCCTGAAGAGTTCTATTCTTACGCTCCACGACTCCATTCTGCTGTGGAGTGATTGGAGAAGAAAACTGATGAAAGATTCCACGAGATTCACAAAAGAGTTCAAAACCACGATTCTCGAATTCCTTACCGTGGTCACTTCTAATGGCAACAAGATTGGTTCGCTTTTCATTCTCAAGTCTCAGCACGAGTTTTTTAAAAGCATCAAGAGCATCAGATTTATCTTTTAAGAAATCAACCCAAGAGAATCTAGAGTAATCATCCACACAGACAAGAATATACTTCTTACCACTGTAACTTTCAACCTGAATCGGTCCCATCAAGTCCATGTGAATCAGTTCCATTATCTGGTTCGTACTGATCTCAGTCAACCTCTTGTGAGACGCCCTTTTCTGTTTCCCCATTTGACAAGATCCACACACCTGTGGTACTTCCTTTTTCAGCTTGGGCAATCCCCGAACAGCCCCTGTAGAAGAAAGTTCAAGTAAGTGAGGATAATTAATGTGTCCTAACTTTTGGTGCCATAGTTCAGTCATATCAGTACTGGTTTTGTTGCACTTCAAATCAAATTCCACAAGATAACAATTATCCCTAGATCTAGTACCAGTAAAAACATGTTTGTTTTCTAAATCAGACACACGACACTGAGTTTTAGTAAAACTCACATACAGACCCTGATCACACAATTGACTAATACTCAGAAGATTTGCCTTCAAGTTTTGAACCAAAAGAACATTTTTAAGTTTAGGCAGACCAGGAACATTCAAACACCCTACTCCAAGAACCTTATTCTTAGCTCCATCACCAAAAGTTACTGAACTAGATGAGACAGGCACAATATCAACCAAGTTGGATTTTATCCCTGTCATGTGACGAGAGCAACCACTATCAAAGTACCAGTCAGAATTAGAAGTGGATTTTAAGGCAAATATAGAAGACAGACAGACGTTCTTATTTACCTTTGGAACCCAGATCTTTTTCTGTTCATGATTCACTATATCAATTTTGAGTTTATGTGCTTTCAAGGGAACACCGTGAGGACTCCAGTCATTAATTCGACCCGTATATATATCATTGTGCATCCTGTAGCACTTGGGACGAATATGACCTCGAATCCCACAGTAGTGACACACGGGTACAAAGTTCTTACCTGAATCTTTGTGTGATGCTTTTGGGAAGTTTGGCTTACCCTTTTTGGAGTCAAGTGAGTACCCCTCTTTGACAAAAGTCAGACCTGTCTTCCTTAGTGAGGTATCTGATTCTCCGACCTTCCCCTTCAGTTTCAGATTATGGAGGTTCTTGCTCGAGTCGGATGAACCAATCTGTTGACTTAATCTTTGAACTTCTGCATATGAGGTCTTAGGTTTATTAATCATCTTGACGACTTCCTCACTTTTACCTAACTTCTCTTCAAGAGTAGAGCAATGACTTCTGAGTGTCATGTGTTCCTCCATTAATCGCCCGAGTTCCTCCTTGAGTACGGCTATCTCAGTTTCTCTCTCACCTGCAACATTTTGCAAAGCAAACAATTCGTTACGTAGGTTTTCAATAATAAAATTCTGCTCATCACTTGCCTGCTTGTTGAGTTTATCCCCATGTTCAACCAAGGCAAGTTTTGCAAAACAACTACTTAAGTCCTTATCCTGCTTTGCGGTATGAAGATCCGACTTAATGAGCTTCTTGTTCAAATCGACTGTCATCACTCTCATCTTTTGAAGCTCGCTACGAAGATAATCAATCTCTTTCTCTCGTTCGCCAGATCGTTGTTCCATAACCTTCATCTTCTGTTTTTGAGCATGGTACTTATTGATGATATCTCTTGCCTTGAGACACTTTTCAATGGCGTACTTGTGAAGTACAAGATTTTCGGCAGCTGGGTCCGAGAATTCATCAGAGTCCACTTCGCTCAGGTTTTTCGCGTAAGAACCTGCATCAGATTCAACATCAGTTAGATGAACAGAAGAGGTAAAGCAGTTATATTCATTAAGAAGACATTTAGCGGAGTTATTTGAGTAGTTAGAATTCCCAGTCGTTTCAGATTCTTTGTCCTCGTCGTCGCTGGAATCAGACCACGTAGCCTTGAATGTCTTGTTCTTCTTCTTGAAATTAGGACATTCTTTTTGAAAATGTCCAAAGCCTTTGCATTCACGGCATTGGTCCTTCTCTACTCCTTGATTGGAATTCTGGAACTTGTTCATCTGCAAGCCAGAACGCTTCTCTCCGAATTGCTGAATTTGGTTCCTACCTCCATCAAACGATCTATTACCCTGAAACCTCTTTTTCTGAAATTTCTTCAGCTTCGAGACATTTTTGGAGAGTACAGTAAGTGCCTTGGTGATTTCATCAGGATCAAAAGATTCCTCATCAGATTCTTCATCTTCAGCTACTGAGGTGCGAACCTTGGCCTTTAGTGCTAAGCCTTTTCCTTTGCTTATTCTCATGGAATCAAAACCATGATTGATTTCAAATGTCCGAAGTTCGCTGAGAAGATCGTCAATGCCAAGTTTCTGAATCCTCTGAAAACT